TAGGAACAAGTGCCTTACTAGTAGTAACAAGTGCCTTACTAGTAGTAACAAGAAGCTATTAGGAACAAGTGCCTTACTAGTAGTAACAAGTGCCTTACTAGTAGTAACAAGAAGCTATTAGGAACAAGAAGCTACTAGGAAACTGTCAGGTGAAGCTTGCGAACCTGGCGAAGCGAACCTGGCCCAGTCTCGCCTGCACCCCGCTCTGTCCGAAGCAAAGCTTTCCTGACGAGCAAATGCGAACTCACCTCCTTGTGTTGTGTGCTTTCACCTCAACATTTTCTGAACATGCTTTGCTTTCACCTCCTTTCAATGCCCGCAGGGCTGATGTCAACCTGGCGTGCACTCACGTGACTTTACAAGTTACATACAATTTACAAGTTACAATGCTCACCACTGGTTCAAAGATGATTACTTTTGCAGCGAACCCACCAACACCTCTTGTTGCAAAGTTTCTGGAGCGTCCTGCGAGGCTAGAAGCATGACAAAGTTCATGCGAGCGACTTGACAACCGTTAAGACTTGTATGTGGCGGATCCTTTGATGACCGTTGAAACTTGGTGGACGACCATAGGAGCAAGGGCGCTACTAGTAGCTGTTGGCATCACTACTAGGAACAAGAAGCTACTAGAAACAAGTGCATCGCTTCTAGTAACAAGTGCCTTACTGGTAGTAACAAGGACGCTACTAGGGGCTCCTGGCCTTACTAGTAGTAACAAGAAGCTACTAGTAGCAAGGTGCCTTACTACTAGTAACAGGAAACGCTATTAGGTTGGAGGCCATTCGCTGGAGGCCTTTTCAGTTAGGTTGGAGAACAAATCTAGGAACCAAATGTGCTGAACAGGAAACCCCTGTCGGTCCGGTGCATGGACTGCAACCACCCCAAGCAGCTGGGTGGACAGGATCAACACCTGAGCATCAGGCCATATACTTCAGATAGTGCCAAACTTACCAGGGCTCGGCAGGCTCGGCCCTTCCTTTCTTTCCTTTCTTTTCTTTTCTCGTCGCTTTTCTTTTCTTTCTTTTCTTTTCTTTTCTGTCCTGTGCTGTCCTGTCCTGTCTTTCTTTCTTTTTTTCTTTCTTGTCATGTTTCTCTCTTTTTTCTTTCTTTCTTCTCTTTTGTTGCTAGCAGGCTCACTTCGCCAAACGCACCAAGGCTTGGCACGCTTTCGGACCAGCGACCGTCCGTAGGCGCTGTTGCCGGTACACCGTGCTACGTTTGGCTGACTAGGAGCAAGTGCATCGCTTCTAGTAACAAGTGCCTTACTAGTAGTAACAAGAAGCTATTAGTTAACTCTTGCTTCGGTCGCGTCTTTGTGTCGACGGTCTTTACGCCATCCGAGCAGCTGAAAGGGAGAACGAGAAAGGGGAGAAAGGCCGTCTTCTCAAAGATGTATGTGAAGTACCGAAGGTCGTACCGAAGGTCTCCATCAAAAGGAATTGGCAACCTCGGATCGAGGGCCTCTCCTGGCATCGCTACTAGGAGCAAGGACGCTACTAGGAGCAAAGGGCATTGTGCCTTTCAATGTCGAAATCTGCCAAGCAACTTACACTTGTTCAGCATGTTCCATGCCAAACAAACTGATTGAGCCCTAGTGGCTGCGGAAAGGACTGCCGATCTCTGGGACTCATTCAAGAGAAACCGAAGCTAAAGACGGCCTCCAACCTACTAGCCAGAAGCGTCATGAGCAAACTCCGAAAACCGAAAACATCCGAGACATCAAAAAAACAATCCCAAGGATTCCGAGGATCCCAAGGGTCTTCTTCTTCTTCGGCTTTGGCTTTGGCTTGAGCTCAGGCTCAGTGGGCGCGGCCTCGGCACAGCGATCCAACCTAGTAGAGATGGCCTCCAGCCTAATAGCTACTAATAGCGTCCTTGCTCCTAGTAGCGATGCCAGGAGCCCCTAATAGCGTTATTGCTCCTAGCAGTAAGGCCAGGAGCCCTTAGTAGCGTCCTTGCTCCTAGTAGTAAGGCCAGGAGCCCTTGCTCCTAGCAGTAAAGCCAGGAGCCCCTAGTAGCGTCCTTGCTCTTAGCAGTAAGGCCAGGAGCCCCTAGTAGCGTCCTTGCTCCTAGCAGTAAGGCCAGGAGCCCCTAGTAGCGTCCTTGCTCCTAGTAGTAAGGCTAGGAGCCCCTAGTAGCGTCCTTGCTCCTAGTAGTAAGGCCAGGAGCCCCTAGTAGCTTCTTGTTCCTAGTAGTAAGGCCAGGAGCCCCTAGTAGCGTCCTTGCTCCTAGTAGTAAGGCCAGGAGCCCCTAGTAGCGTCCTTGCTCCTAGTAGTAAGGCCAGGAGCCCCTAGTAGCG